CAGCCCAGGGCCTCATAGTTTTGAGTTTGGATTCTATTGAGGGTCTTTTATCTTATGCTCTAGGAATGAGAGTGATGAATGCAATACTACTGCTTTGTATATTTATAATACTTGTCATTCAAAACAGTCTTAAGACCCTCAAAGAGTAGGTAAACTTGTCAACTAGGTATCATACATACTTTTGAAACAAGGCAAGTTATTATTAAACAAGTAACTCACTTGTGAACTAATGTACAGTGCATGTGTAACGTACAATACTTTTTAAACATGGTTCAATTGAACAAAGAAAATTCTCCTATAAACTGAAAACCATTTAGATTATAAAACTGATATCTTATGATTAGAATTCATAGCTTTCTGAGAATTCTAATAATCAAATATCAATTTTTCCAGTATCACTCCAAAAGCACCAGCTGATAAGATCAACTGTTTACCTGTGACATGCCATTCTACTCTACTCTTGTAGGAGTACAAAGACACAGGTTAAGCGGAAAGGATGTGGGAGAGAAGGAAGAACCTAGACCAAGGAAACTGGTGGCATCGTTTTGGCGTCAGAGAGAGCTGGATAAGGGAAAAAGCTTGGCTTTCAGAGGATGCTAACTCAATTTTAAACAAACTGCAAGCAAAGATATTATTCACCTGTTTCTTGACCCAGGCAGACTTCACCTTTTGTATTCTGACTTTTTGCTTTTATTTACAAGCAAAAAGCAAAGTATAACATGCCCATTGTGTACTACTAACTTGGTGGTGTGTCTGAAAAGTAACGGCTATGGCTTATTATAGCTGATACTTACTATGTTATTTCACATACAGTACTCCTGTAACATACTGCTTTCAGCTACACTGGCTTATTTCCAATAGAAACTGGTGAGTCAAAACAGAGTCCTCTGAGAGCAGAAGTGCAACTGAACATGCAGTATAAGAGCCTGCTCTTGACTCAGTCACAGGGTCACTGCCCAGGGCTCACTCAATGATACACAACAGTGGGACATAGAGGAACCAGGCAGCAAGCTTTCCCCGGTACTGTCCCTATACTCTTAGGTCGTGGACTGGAAACTACTATGTTTAGGGAGTGTTTGTTTGGTTTCATCAGTCCTCAGGAAAGAGATAATGAATGTAGTGGAGCAAACCAGATCTGTTAAGCAGGTTATGCTTGTTTACTTTGATAAGAGGACTTTATAGTGATGCCATCTAAAAAAAGCCCGACTCTGAGAAACAGAGTAGAGTGGTGGTTTCCAGGGGTTGTCGAGTATTATTGGTCAAGGAGTACAAACTTCCAGTTATAAGATTAACAAGTTTGAGGATCTAATGTACAGCATGGTGACTATAGCTAATAGTGCTATATCATATACTTGAATATTGCTAAGATAGAGTAAATCTTAAAAGTTCCCACCACAAAAAAGAAATGGTAACTGTGTGACAAGATGGCGATGGTAGCTAATGCTGTGGTGATAATCATTTTGCAATATAAAAAATGCATCAAATCAACACGTGTACCACCTTAAACTTACACAGTGTTATGTGTCAACTGCATCTCAATAATGCTGGCACTGGCGGGTGGGAGTTCTGTAAAAAAAATACATATATAGATTTTTACTATATATATTATATATATATATATATATATATACCCCATACCCCAGAATCTGAAACTGGGGCTCAAAACTCTCTAATTTTACCACATTCCCTGGGTAATTATGGTTGTCAGCCAAGTTTGAGACTTGAAGGCCTAGATTTTAAAATACACTCTCAGCTTCTCAGTTTTAAATCTATTTTTTCTTCTCAGACTTCAGCCAAAGATAAAACAGGATACCCCTTCCCCTTCCAGGCCTTCATATCGACAGAGCGAGTGTTGAATACTTTCTTGCATTGCTTACTAAACATTTGTTTCATTTGACAAATGAAGACACAAACTCAGAGACGTTAAGTTCCTAGTTCACGGTTACACAGTACACTAGTGGGAGTGCTGGGGTTAGAAAGCTGGCTCTATGGTCAGCTGACCATTCCCTTCCTTCTCTTTTTTCCCAGCTTTACATTCATTCGTGAGTAAGAAAAATGGAGGCATCTAGGGGACTTCTTTGAAACACTAGACTCTGCATTAGGGTAAATGCAGACGCTAATTTCCAAGCAACATTTCCTCTCAGAGAGAAACCTACAGAATAAAAAAGACTTAAAGAGACATAGTGGGCTTCCCTGGTGGCACAGTGGTTGAGAATCTGCCTATTAATGCAGGGGACACGGGTTCGAGCCCTGGTCTGGGAAGATCCCACATGCCGCGGAGCAACTAGGCCCGTGAGCCACAACTACTGAGCCTGCGTGTCTGGAGCCTGTGCTCTGCAACAAGAGAGGCTGCGATAGGGAAGAGGCCCGTGCACCGCGATGAAGAGTGGCCCCCGCTTGCCACAACTAGAGAAAGCCCTCGCACAGAAACAAAGACCCAACACAGCCATAAATAAATAAATAAATAAATAAATAAATAAATAAATAAATAAATAAAAGATTACTATTAAAAAAAAAGAGACATAGCAACCAAATACAGTGTATGGACTTTTGGGTCCCAATTTGAGCAAAATACCACCTGGATATTTAATCACATTAAGGAATCATGCTTCATTGTTAAAAAGGTGACAGTTTTATTATGGTTCTACTTTTCAAAGTCCTTGCGTTTTAGAAATACATATTGAAATATTTATGAATGCAATGATGTCTGGGATGCTTCAAATCCAGTGGTGGAGAGAGGGAGAAAAGTGGTTGTGATGAAACACACATTAGGAACAAGATTATCCATGAGCTAATAATGACTGAATCCAAGTGATGGGTACATAGGGCTTATCATGCTATTCTCTCTCCTTATTTATATATATATATATATATATATATATATTTCTTTTTTTTCTCATTGTAAAACACTTTTTAAAACATTCATTTCTCTCAAGGCCTGGCTTACAGTTTTGTGGGTTATTTGATTTACCTACATGATAATACGTTTAGTGAGGTCCACAACTAGATAGAATATATATTTTTTTTAATATAGAGCACAATTATTTTATTTTACTAATGAATCAGAAGACATTTTTGATATTATAATAAGCGTTCCAATGCAAACAAACCCAATAAGTTATATGAATACTTTTCAATGTTCTTAGATTCTGTGATACCAACAAATGTGGGGAACACATAGTGTTGGTGCCCTCTTTGACTCTTACTTAATGCCAACATAAGCATCTTCTTTTTTCTTTTATATTTAAAATATCTTAAAAATTTTTTTTATTTTTAACACCTTTATTGGAGTATAATTGCTTTAGATAGCATATTGATAGCTTTATGTAATTCAGCAAGAAAATACCTCAGCCTCCTACCATGACCATTGTGAAGCAGGAGATAAATACCAGCCATTTAAAGCAGAAACTATGGTTCTCTAGTAACAGGAATCTCTTTCAATGTAGCCAAACACTTCTATAACCTGTTACACTCTGAGGGACCTAAAAACTGCAATAGGTAAACTATTTATTAAAATAGTAAAAGCAGTTTGACAAAAATCATAAGAATTATGAAACAGCAGTTACATTCCATAAGAGTTTTCATAGCTCAGAGTATGCTTGGGGAACTGTTAATTGCCTCAAAGTGAAATGAGGGTGCCCACCAGGATCCGGCTAGGAGGTAAATTTCTAGTTAGGGTGTCGAGCTTAGCACCAGTTTCCAAATGTGCACAGGAAGCTGCAGGTTCCAGATTTTGAGGCTAAACAGCTCTGCCTTTCTCCTTGTCCTTGCCCACCACCTCATCTCTGAATCTACAAGAGCTGTGAATCTTGAAGGGTAGGATCTACCAGCATTCATTACAACTTCAGAGGTAGCAGGTTCCTAAGTTCAATGAAAGGTGTTTGGGGTTTGTCTTGAAGCAGTAATGAAATACGTTATTATTTCAAGGAAATATAAACGATTTTCAGTATTTCAATGAAGTATGCTACTTCAGCACAAGAAAACACTGGAAATAGCTTTGTCTTATGACCTAGAAGTAGTAATAGATAATCTAAGGGGAAACAGATATAGATCTCCGGAAAGATAATGTTCTGTGTTTTTATTTTTCTTCCAGAATTCCAAATAATTGCCTTGACAGCAGTCTGCTCTAAAACGGCCCCCTTCTGAAGACTCAGAGGTGTTTACAGAAACTGAAAGTTCCAGCAGTAGATTTCCATGAGCTCATTAGCAGTTCCTTTAGATGTCGGGTTTACACATCAATATCCATGCGGTATAAACCCCTGCTGTGAGCGTTCGTTCTAATTACAAACAAAGTAGCAGAAGTCAGATATGTGACGACTGCAACGTTGGGGCATCTTTTTAGAATGACTGTAACGTTGGGGCATCTTTTTAGAATCCCTGCTTTGGTCACTATTATTCAAAGCAACTCCAACGCCATTTCTTGCCTGCCTCTATATGCTAATCAGCCTAGCCCACTCGGCTCCTCCCCCTCCCAGCCTCCTTTAAGAACCGTTCACTTTCAGCTGTCACGGAGGGTAACTCAGACCAGGCTTAGAAATCACTTGATTTAACTCAGCAGCACTTTTTTTTTTTTTCCTTTGTGTATGTATTATTCTAGCAGTCGTCTGTAAATACTGGGGACATTAGACTTCATGTCAGCAGAGGGAGTAATCATTGCAAAACTGTAATCTGTTAGAAATAGTTACTTTACTGGATTTTACACTATAAGGGGGGAAGTTTCAATGTGCTTTGAAATGAAAGAAGAATTAAGTTGTGTTTTTATCCAAATGAATTGGCATCTTTATATGTAGGAGAAGCTACAAGTTGGTAAATACTTATTTCAAGAATCATGACTGGGAAACACCTGGAAGTTTATTAGAGAAGTAAATGTTTTTCCATGCAAGGACAGCATCTGCCTGTACCTCTGTGGTTCCGGGTATTGTGTGAAGACCATTCTAGGTGACTGGGCAAGGGAAGGAATACCCTACTGATACTGGAGCCACAGCCGTACTGCCAGTACCATGTCTACCATACAAAGAAAGGGCAGCAGCCACCTGTTCAACAGTTTGCACACCTGTAGACTGAAGGTTCCAGAGGACCAGCAACATCAAGGTGAGTCAGTCAGGCTAATGGGTTGTGTGTTCTGTGACCTCCTGTCCATTTGCATTTCCGGAAGGATGGTGGGCTGGGGAATCTCTGCTTTGCAATCTTCCATTTTTAAACTCTGAGAATAGACATAATAGTGATGTATAAGGGTGAGTTAACTTGCATTCACTATTGGTTTTTAAAGGACTATAGACGACTATCGAGAATGGAGTTGTCATTCTGAAACTTATGTGCTTACACTTCTAGCCACTGTCATTTTTCCAGAGTACTCTGGATTTTGTGTAATTCAAAACACCCATCTAGGCAAGGCTGAATCTGCTACAGGGGAAATTTGCTGAGAGTGGCTTTAAGTTAGTCTGCAATGTTCTCTCTTGTCCTACCACTAATGGTATCATCTTGGACTTAAAGTTTAAGCCTAAATTTGTCTGGATCTCTGGCTCATTCATTTGTGGGAGAAATAAATATATTCTAGGCTCTTTCTCTTTTATGGTTCTGGAACAGATGGAGACAGACAGGGAAAAGTGTCACATTTCACATGATGGGCACTCATTCAGACTGAACTATCTACCTTGCAGCCATTTTCACCATCAGTCTTAAAATTTCAAAGCCACTACTCAGCCAGCTGCATCAATTAGCGGCAGACGGTTGACATGAATAGACAGGATGATCCCTCCAATCCATTCTGTCAGGGACACCAAGGACACTTGTAGAAAAGGCTGGGTGTCAGGGATGACATCACCCCCAAGAGGTTAAGGATTTACCCCAGACATTTCTAACTTCTCCTCAATTCCCTCAATAGACAGATGGATCTGTCTATGTATAGATCTAGACTACAAGCTCTTTATTTTTCCATAGACACAGTTTTAGATTTCAGTGGCATGAGGAGTGTTGGCTGAAGGGCTGAAACCTCCCATTTCCAAGGTGGCATCTGTGTGCTAACATTTGTGTGCATGTGTCAGGCCACCTCCCTTCTTCAGTTCCTGGACTTCATGCTGTACAAGGCTTAGCAGAGTGTGGGTATAAAATACTTCCTATTAAGTGAAAACAGCAAAAACTACTAAGACCCTTTTGTACCATCAGGGCTCATATAAATTATTTTGAACTAACTGCCTTAGAATGTAAAGTCCTAGAACGTGCCAGGGTTTAATCACAGCACTGTCAAATGTACTTGCTTCTCTATTAATAGACAATCTAATTCATCATAGGTTTTTTTGTTTGCTGTTCATTTTGTTTGAAATGTTTAAAGCTACCTTCCTTCTCCCACAATTGTTGATGTAATATTTATTATAGTAACCTTGCTAGGGGGAGCATAAAGGAGATGGTAAAAATCACCTGTAAAAATCACCACCCAAAGATAGTTGCTATTAACATCTTAATGTATAGCCTTCTAGCCTTTTCTTATATGCACGTGTACAAATTATTCTTTTGCTTGATTTTTTGAAGTAAATATAGACTTATTTTGTACATAGTTTGCAAACTGCTTTTTAACTCAACAGTAGATATGAACAAATTCCCTTGTCATTATATATTGTTCTACAACCTTATTTTTAACAGTTGTATACTATTCCTTCCTATGGATGATAGCAAAATTCTTTTAGGCAATTTACTGTGGCTGGAAATTTCATTGATTTCTAATTTTTCACTATTACAAGCAACACTGTGTTTAATGTACACTAATGGATAAATCATTGCCGAGATAAGATTATTTTCTTGGAATACATTCTTAGAGGTGGAATTGTGGAGTCAAAGGATATGCATGTTTTTCAAGATTTTTCAGGGTCGGGGAGGCAGATGGTCCTCTAATCAGCAGTGTAGAGATATAGAGTCTCAGTAATACTGGGTATTATTTTAAAATTGTTTTCTTTCCAATTTTATAAGTGGAAAATAGTATCCCACTGTTGCTTTAATTTAATGCAGGCCGCGTTGATGGTCTCTGCCTTACTGGCCATATCCAGAACAGCCTGGAAATATCATTGTGATGACATACTTCCCAAAATATCAACAAGATTAGAAGTCTGGTCTCCTCTTGCAGACCAAAGCTTTTGCCTAGAATATTTTGAAAGCAACCATATTCTTCCATAACTGAGTCTCAAAATATCTGCCCACATAAACCACAATCCATAAAGTTGTGAAGCATGCTAATGCGATCCAGACTGGCCACTGACTGCTACAAGAGACGTCATCTAGAGATCTGAGTTGACAAGTGACACTGGGCAGTGTTTGCATTCCAGTTACTGTCCTAGAGTTTAAAAGTATTCATTCAGTGCAATGTTTCTGACTTTTCCACCAAGCTATATTTGTACCTTGTTATTATGCAAAGTTCAGCAAAGGTCCAAGGAAGCAAAGCCATTTGTTTCAGAGTGAGGGCTGGCTGTGGATTTATTCACTGAGGTGCTCTGAGTTTGTGGCTTTGGCCTACCACCAGCCAGACTAAGATTCCAGCATACAGGTCAGGATTAATTGACATTTAACTCTTCTGAGGCATAACCAGGTTCAACACATGCGTACTTTCCAGTCCTCCATGCTAGATGCTAAAGTGCTTTATGTTAAGTCTGAGGTATTTAACTCTTTCCACCTAGTCACTCACAAAATGTGCTTTTTGGGTGACCACACAGATAAAAGTCACTTATTCTTCAGCAATTAGCTGTACAACGACTATGCAAAACACTGTGCCAGATGCTGGGTATGTATGCTGAACTAAGCCAGCTAAGCCGCATGCTTTCCTGTCCACATAGACTTTACACTCTAAGGCAACAGATGCTATACTAGTCCAGAACAGAAGTCCAGAAGGCTAATCTTTCTATTGTTGCTTCTTCTGTGATATTTCAAATCCATCTGTCTATAACATTGATCTGAGACCACATTTGTAGACATTAATTTATATGTCTATAAATACTCAGCACAAATTTCAATACACATTATATGTACTGGGCAGATTTAACGATCCTTATATTTTACAGTGCTTTGAAGTTCACAAAGTAGTTTCACAGACATTATCTTATTTACTTATACAGATGTGTATACATACATACATGTGTGTATACATGTATGTAACGTGTGTCTACATGCATGTAGGTATGTGTGCCGTGTGTACACATGTATGTATACATCCTATTGTTCTCTTTCTCTTCAGAAACTTGATTAATCCGCTACTTCACCTGGTTGTTATGAGAATTAAATAAGATAATGTATGTGAGACTACTTTGTTAACCTCAAAGCATGTACATATATACAAACTCTATATGTATATATGTGGGTGTGTATATTGAAATATACATATACATATAGATAAAGATATAGAGAGAGGGAGAGAGGTTATTTTAAGGGACTGAACACATGATTATGGAAGCTAGCAAGTCCAAAGTCTGTTGTGTGGGGCAGCAGGTTGGAGACCCACATGAAGATCCTACCGATGTTACAGTTGAAGTCCAAAGTTGTCTGCTGGCAGAATTCCGTCTTCCTCAGGAGAGGTCAATCTTTTGTTCTAGTCAGGCTTTCAACTGACTGGATGAGGCCCACCAACATTATGGAGGGCAATCTACTTTACTCAAAGTTCACCAATTAATGTAAATCTCATTCAAAACACTCTCACAGAAACATCCAGAATAATGTGTGACCAAATATTTGGCACTGTGGTGCAGCCAAGTTGACACATAAAATTAACTATTACAGGTAAGCATCATTAGCCTCATTTTTAAAGATGTGGACACTAGGAATCATCAAGGTCAAGTGATTTTTCCAAGGTTACATAGTTATCAAAATCTACATTCAAGGCACTTTCTGTTATATATAGCTGTCTTATAAAATCCACGATTCTTAGTGTTACCATGATTAATTTTCTTCATTGGTCCATATTAGAAAACCTCTGCAGACCCAAGATGCATTGGGATTCCTCCTGATTTTCTTTGTGTGTTCTGACACCAATTTTTTGACACCAGCTGGGTGTCCTACAATTCAATTCAATTCTAACACTACTTAGAGTTAGCAAGGACACCAAAAGTTAAGGGCTCAGTCTCACAAGACTGCCCCCCTTCAAATGCCAGTTACAACTTTCAGGTGTCTCCAAGATACCTACATTTCTGCCTGGACAACTACAAATTCAAGGCTTCTCACAACCCTCTCAGGTTTTAAAATTTGCTAGAACAATTCATAGAACTCAAGAAAGTTCACAATTGCCATTTTATTATAAAGGGCACAAATGAACAGCCAGATGAAGGGATACATAGGGCAAGTTCTAGGCAAGTCCTGAGCACAGGAGCTTCTGTCCCCATGGAGTCTGGGTGTACCACTCTCCCTGTACATCAATGAGCTCACTGACCAGGAAGCTCCATTGAGCTTGGTGTCTGGAGTTTTTATATGGGATTTCATTATGTGGGCATGATTGATTAAATTGTTGACCATTATTAAACTCAATCTCCAGAAGACCTACAGGCACTTCTGTTTTTCTTTCACCAAAAGGGAGCTTCAAAGAGATAGTTTTGTTCTATTTGCAAAGCATTTAAAGTCACAGATTGGTAGAAACAAATATAGATCATTTAAAAATTATTAGAAAGGGGAGAACTCATATTCATTTATCATGGTCAACCTCACACCCAGGACAGGAATCCTTCCCATATAAGCCTTCCTAATGGATGGCACATATGTGAGGATTTGGAAAATTAATGTAATTATTTAAACTTCACTTTCCCACCTTACACTTGTTAGGATGGTTACTATTAAAAAAAGAAAACAGAAAATAACAAGTGTTGATAAGAGAGTGGAGAGATTAGAACCCTTGTGTTTTGTTGGTGGGAAAGTAAAATCATGCATCTGCTGTGGAAAATAGTATGGTAGTTCCTTACTATTTAAAATTTTCAAATAGAATTATTCTATGAACCAGATATTCTACTTCTGGGTATATACCCCCAAAGAAGTGAAAGCAGGGACTCAAACAGATACTTGCACACACAATAGCCAAAAAGGGTAGGCAACCTATGTGTTCATCAACAAATGAATGGATAAACAAA